CTGCTCCGGCCCTCTGGAACGATTTCCCCATGGAGATTCAGACCCTCACCACCCTTCAGGCTTTCCGCAAAGCTATTAAGACCTGGCTGATCTGGCAGGCCTGGGGCTGATGAGTTCCCAGCCCCACTTGAATTGTTGTGACTGTTGTGTTGTTTTTATGCTGTTTTTTTGTATTTGCTTTTGTCCTTCTTTGTTTTTTGTATTACCCCCTTCCCTATGAATTTGGTAGCCGCCCTGAGTCCCCCCGGGAATAGGGCGGCATACAAGTATAATAAACATTACAAACATTACATTACATTACTAGGAATCCCAGCAATCCAAATGAGACCGATTGAGACTGAGAACAGGTGCTTCTAGCAGCTGAGTTGGGAGGCATTTGCCTGCCGTTCTGGCAAGCAGGCATACGTGACACACAAGAGCAGCCTCATTACCATGAAGTTCTGTTCGTATTACAAGCTTGGTGGTGTTGGGTAAAGACTTTCGCAGATGCATTTGTTCAATGGGCCAAGCTTGAGTAATGTTAAAGTAGGTATTTGTAACTTGGCCTGTTGTGCAAACCTACACCCCTAAGTTGTGAACATGTTCCCTGACAGATTCTGATTCTCCATCAGAGGAATTTGGTGACAAACGGGGCACCTCGTGTATTGACAACAAATTGCTAGGATTCAGGCTGTTTTTTCCCATTCAGACCTAGATAGCTTCCAGAGAGCTGGAAAGAGTATTTCTCCCACTCCCCAGTTCAGACTCTCAATGTACAAATTGGGTACATTCCCTAAAGATTGGTTGTTTTGTAACACCAATGACTCCACAAATGCCCTCTTCAGGAACTTCTTTCTTCTTTCAAGGTTGCTAGAAGCTTCGTCTTCTGCAATGAGGCGTTAACAATTGCTTAGAGCCACATGGCCACACACACCCCCCCGCCTGTTTTCCCTACAAATTGGGAGGACAGGGATCCAAGGTAGCAAAAGACAACTGAGACAGCAGCTATCTACTTCCTTGGATGCTGCAGATCAAAACAATCCCAGATAACGGAGCAAGGCAAATACCAAAGGCTCCATCCCTTCAGAGTCAAGGTTACGGGAGGAGTTAGTTCCCTGCAGGAGATAATTTAGTGCCAATGAGACAGAATCTCTTGGAAACTGAACCTACTTGCTTTTCTGAGGATTAGAGTTGGACACTCATCTCTTGTGACATATTAAAGTGGAAGCAGGGACGGACCAGAGCACAGAATCAGAAGATTGTCATGATTTGTTCGACTGAAGCCCTGGAGAGGCTTGCCAAACTCTAGAAGGTAGTGGCCTTCACCCTGGGGTGAAATGCTATCAGTTTGGACCAGTTCACCTGAACCAGTAGTAAAAAAACTGCTACCAGTTTAGGTGAACCAGTATTTCCAATGATCAGCTGTGACACACGATTTATATTAGCTAGAACCATCGGATTTCCTGTTTTCTAGCTAATATAAATTGTGTGGCACAGCTGATCGTCGAAAATACTGTGGATTTCCCCCACCCAACTGTTCTACTTACCTTTGCAGGTGTGCTCGGTAACAGGCTCCACCCACCCACCCAGACATCATCACATCGTTTTTGACACTCTGCACATGCTTGGAGGTTGCATATGCTCACTTCACTCACACGCGTGCAAACCGATAGCGAAGGTAAGTTGATTTCATCCCTGCTTTCACCATTTTTCCTGTTTCTCCCTTAGGCTGATGGACACATTGGCTCAGGCTGAAATAGAACTGAAAGGCCTAAACCGCCGGCAGCTCTCCCTGGAGGAAGAGATTGAAGTCAAAGCAAATACTCTTTATATTGATGAAGTGCTCTGCATGCAGATGAGAGAGTCCATTTCCATCAATAATTTCTGATCCGTGAGGCTGGCGGAATCTCTGCTTGGCTGGACCCTTACGAGTAGATCTTGAAACATTGGCTTAAAACTTTCGAGAATCTTTTATAGAAGCCAAACATCTGCCCTGAACTTTCTACCAGATAATAAATTAGTGAAACCTTGATCCCAAGTTCATCATAAGCTCTTGGGAGGTCCCTGTGACAGAGGACTAGGGTGAAAGTGATGATGGCTGGGAAGAAGACAAGTAATAGGACTTGAACTAGTGTCTTTAGTGCAGACCAGGGGTGGTTTCTGCAACCGGTTCTCTGCCCGGTTGCTGGGTGGGCGTGGCCATGGTGGGTGTCACTTACTTGGCCTCCTGCACCACAGCGGGGGTGGGTGGGTTTTGCCCTCCCCAGGCTCCGGGAGGGTTTTCTCATGGTTCCGGGATGGCCCATTTCCAGACTTTCGCGAGTCCTGTTTTTCATCCTCCCAGAGCCCCTGTGTGGGCCACATGTAGACTCCTGGGAGGAGAGGGGTGGGTGGGGCCAGCCAGTCCTTGCAACTACTGGTTCAGCAAACCAGAGGTAAAATTAGCATCCGGTTCGCCCGAACCTGTCCAAACCAGCTGAATCCCACCTGTGGTGCAGACATAGTTTACAAACTTAAGGGGAGTGCTGATTCAACACATTGCTTTCCCAGGATTTCTAAATGTTCTGTCCTCTTCAGGAAGAAGACAGATTTAAAAAGTTAACTTTTAGAATAGGCTAAAATGGGGATGAGATGGAGGCGAGAGTCACCCACCCTAAAATCCTGACCCTGATAACTAATTGACAGCCCCATCCGGGTCACATAGTCATTCATCCACTGAGACACAAGATCAAAAAGGATACCAGGGACATCCACAGGAGATGGGCATGATCATAAAAGTTGGCGGCTTCAGCCAAATGATCACAGCTGCCATCTCCCCACTCCTCCTCAAGGACCCCTGCATAATTCTGTGTAATATTGTGTGACTCCTAATACTCAGGCTAATTTTTAACATGTGGATGTGGTGCAGGCAATGATTCCCACAGCTTATACAGGTAGTCCTCAACTAATGACCACAAGTGGGACCAGAATTTTTGTTACAAGGCAAGACATTCATTAAGTGAATCACACCTGATTTTATGACTCCTTTCCCCGCCCCAGTGATTAAGTGAATTGTGCAGTTGTTAAGCAATTTCGGCTTACTCCGTTGGGTTTGCTTCTTGGAAGCCAGTTGGGAAAGTTGCCAGTGGAGCCCACATGATCCTGGGATGCTGCCACTGTTGTAAATACATGCCAGTTGCCCAGTGCCCAAATTTTGATCACGTGACTGTGGCTATGCTACAACAGTCGTGTGAGGACTGTAAGTCTTGTTTTGTCAGTGCTGTTGTAACTTTGAACATTAAGCAAATGGTTGTAAGTTGAGGACTACCTGTATATAATTTTAAGTTCTGGGTTCCAGTAAAGCCATATTTTCTTCCCGCGCCAACCAAGTTTCTCTTCAAAGGCCAACAGATTTTTCCTTCTTCCTGGAGAAGAGAAATGCAGGACTTGCCTCTGATCTTCAGTGCTTCTGATTCAGCATTTTTTGCATGCGCCATTCAGCTGCGCTAAACCTCATAGATCCTTTTGCATTCCAAAGACTCTTTGTTATAAACTCGCAAATGGCGCTCATGCTCAGTCTTGGTTGTGAACTGTAGCTCTTTTATTCTTAAAAAGACAGATCAGGGTATTGCAAGGCACTTTACTGAACCCGATCCTGCTGGAACGAAAAGGGCCAGTTCAGCCGCTGAGAAAGGTCATTGCCAGCTACTTCCTTCTGGTGAGCTTTGCACGGATTCTCCTGCAATACAAAACAGGGAAAGAGAATATACTTTGGAACATGACAGAGGGCAGCAGGGGACAATAGCTTTGGGCTGGGGAGGGGGAAAATCTCAGGGGATGGGAATCCTCTCCTCCTTGCCTCTTAGGATAACTCCTCCATGCACAAATTCATATTCTAAATGCATGCAGATTAAAGATCTTAATCTCTGCGGTTTATATGCTTATTTAGGAACAGTCCTTGAGGTTGGTGGTACCACTGCAGCCAGCCCCATTGTCCACGTAACAGAATAACAGAGTTGGAAGAAACCTTGGAGGTCTTCCAGTCCAGCCCCCTGTTCAAGCAGGAGACCCTATATCCATGATGGAGAATTTATGGCACGCATGCCAGAGGAGCTGTGTGGGCACGTGCGCCATCGCCAGCTACTCTTCTGATTTCCAGCTGGTCTTCACAGGCACCGGAAAACAGCCTGCAAACGGCCCCCAAAATGCCCCCGAAACAGGCTGTTTTTTAGGACCATTTTTGGGCTGTTTTTCAGACCATTTTTCAGGCCATTTCAGGCCATTTGGAGGGCTTTTTCAGACCATTTTTCGGGTGAAAAACGGCTGAAAAAACACCCTGAAAAACACCCCAAAAACAGGCATGTGCGGACTGCCCAGCTGGTCTTCCGGTTTCCGGTGCTCCGGCACACATGCTTGCTCACATCCACGCGCATTCTGGTTTGGGCAATTGGTGCTAAAAAGGTTCCCCATCACTGCCCTGTTTCATTCTAGACAAGTGGCAAGTTAAAAACCTCCAGCACCCACCACCTCTGAAGGCAACTTCTGTTCCACTGGTTAATTGTCCTTACTGTTAGGAAATTTCTCCTCAATTCTAGGCTGCTTCACTCTTTGATTAGTTTTATTACCCCAGAGTACCCTCCTGTCATCTGGAGCCTCCAGTGGAAGCATTTTGCACGAGGAGCTTAGTTAAGTATGAATTCCATCCTGTCGCCACCACAAGGGCCATTTTCAAACCGAGGGAGACTATAGGTGGCCCATATGCCTTCCAAAACTGCTGAATGAAACATGCTCCACCTCCCAGACTTCGAGCAGCTGCTTTATTTGGAAGGAGACAAAGCTGGCTCCATAGGAGAACAAGGAGGTCTGGAGAGGCACAGAAGGAAGGCACCTGTTGAGAGGCTGGGGACGGAAGTCAATATGGAAACCCCATATGCTGTTTTTCCTTGGTTTTGCCTGAGTGACACCAGGATTGTTCTTTTAACTTTGGTTGATAAGAGTTTGGTTTTTTTTAAAAAAACAACAAGGCAGCCCTTAAAACAGTGTTTCTCAACCTTGGCAACTTGAAGATGCATTCGCTGGCTAGGGAATTCTGGGAGTTGAAGTCCGGACATCTTCAAGTTGCCAAAGTTGAGAAACACTGCCTTAAAACATTGATTGCTAGCATTTTTCTTTTCTAATAAAGGTTTTGATTAGGATTGGACTGAAATGAGCCAGACCGGATTAGTTCTTATATGGGAAACCACCAAGAAATACTAGTGTTGTACAGGTAGTACTTGACTTACAACCATAACTGAGTCTACCAATTATGGTTGCTAAGTCGTGTCAGTCATAACTCAGGTCACACATAGGATGCAAGACAACTTTACTACAATTCTTGCAGTGCTTATTAATTGAATGGGGCAACTGTTAAGTAAATGGTCATTAAGCAAAGCCATTGTTTACTATGGCACATTTTTGCTGGAAGCTGGAAGTAAATGCAAAAATGTTGTAAATTGAGGTCTGCAAATAGCCGTATATGTGGGTTGGTTGCTGAGCATCCAAAATGTGGTCATGTGATCATGGGGGGGGGAGGCCATCAGAATTTCAGAACTGGGTTCTAAGTATTTGGGGGTGTGTGTTCCTCATAACTTTGTGTTAGATATCCCCCCCACCCCCCGACAGAGGTTTCCACCAAGATCCTCTGTTCCAGTGGGAACAGAGGTTTAATCCCATTGGTCAAAGGGTCTGACAGATCCCTTAAAAAGGGGATGCTGCCCAACCCTTCCTCAGCCGGATGTTTACCTGACCTGCAATAAAGAGCTGTTGTTACTGAAGCCTTGTGTGCCTTCCTTTACCCCAGTGGTTCCCAAACTTGGCAACTTTAAGACTTGTGGACTTCAACTCCCAGAATTCTCCAGCCAGCAAAGCTGGTTGGAGAATTCTGGGAGTTGAAGTCCACAAGTCTTAAAGTTGCCAAGTTTGGGAACCACTGCTTTACCTGATCTAACACTTTGACTGGTCGCTAAGCAACAGGTTGTAAGTCAAAGACTAGGTATGCTGGACTGTGAAATGTCAAAAATATATATTCTGGCAACCACTTGTATACGGCTGTGAAGAAAACAACTCTATAGACCTATTCATGAACAGGAATAGCACTTAAATGTATACACTGCTCCATGGTGGTTTTCAGCACTCACAAATACCACCATATTGCCCCCAACAATCTGGGTCCTCATTTTTACAGAACCTCGGAAAGATGCAAGGCTGAGTCAACCTTGAGCCAGTCAGGATCGAACTCCTGGCAGTCAGCAGAATTAGCCTGCAATACTGCATTTCTAGCCACTGTGCCACCATGGAAATTATTAAGAATTTCTCTTTAAAATTGTTAGTGGGGTCAATTGGGAAGTGAAAGTGAAATTCAAAGGGGAAATCACTCTCTACAATGTCCATTTAACCCGTTATTGTTCCAGTGGTGGCAGGACAGAGAAGCAGATGCTGCTACCTCATTGTGACTCTCTTAGCAGTGCAGAAATATGGCAAGTACTTGAGTGGAAGTGTGCAGCCTTTTTGAACAGCTGGAGATACTTTCAACATTTGTATCATGTTCCCTGTTTTTTTTAAAGAAGCATGAAGTGGTTTGAATAATTACTAGGGAGGGAAGGAGCAAACCAGAAATTATAACCGTACCTTCTTTTTCCAAAAATCGTGGGCTCTGTCGAATTGCTTGTAGGGAAGCTGCCCGCTGGCACTTTTTCTGAAATAGGAGTGAAATAGGGATTTCATGCATGACCTGAGGACATTTCAGCTATTGCAGCCTCTCTTCTTCTTCGTGTTTTTTTTTTGACATGTCCTTTTTAAAGGCATTATAGAGAAATTCAATTTCAAAAACCTCACTAAACTTGAATAATCTTTTTTGGATAACATTTCCCTTCTCCCATCATTTTCTAAATATAGAGATTAATAACAGGGGTGAAATGCTACGAGTTCGGACTGGTTCATCTTGAACCGGTAGTCAAGAAATGCTACTGGTTTGGGTGAGCTAGTATTTCGGATGATCAGCGGTGACAAGCGATTTATATTAGCGAAATTGCGTGGCACAGCAGATTTCCCCCCTCGCTGTTCTACTTACCTTTGCAGGCGTGCCTGGTAGCAGGCTCTGCCCACCCACCCACACATCATCACGTCTGTTTTTGACACTCTGCACCATGGCACGTCAAAACCGCGGTCCACTAAAGCGCGCCCGATTAAAGCGCGTACGTGACATCATCATCAGCGCGACAAGAAAGAAAAGGCGCTTTAAAAAGCGCTTTTAAAGCAAGCCGATTCACATAAAGGTAAGGGTTAGGGTTAGGTTTAGGGTTACGTTAAGCGTTAGGTTTAGGGTTAGGTTAAGGGTTAGGCTTAGGGTTCAGGTTTGGGGGGGGGGTTAGGT